GTAGGCCATCCAGTTATTTTAGCCGGGCCGGCTAAAATGATTGGTCGTGCTTTTTACAGCGCTACGGCTTCCAGAGGTTAATTTTTGTATGTATTTATTTTCAAAGCATTTAATATATTCATTGCTATCGGGATGTTAAGAGCATTCCATGGAATATAACAAAGTGTTTTCTGAAATAAATTACATACCCCATTGAATTATGACTGAAGATTGTCAGCCGTCTTCCTCTCCCTTGTTGTTCCTCGATACGTAAAGGCTGCAGCACCGTTGACAACTTCTCTCTACATATCAAACATACCGGTAAACCAGCATCGTTTGCTGTGAAAGCATATAACTCTGTCCATGCAGAATTAAATCCTGGGTTCCTCCGGTACTTTTCTTTTGATTTATCCATAGTTCGATCATCGAGCCGGGGGTCAGGTTATTCACCCGCAGGAAGAGGCGCTAGTGCGGGACCGTAGCAGGATGTGACGCATATTTTAGTTGACCTAATTAAAACCGTTTTGTTTTTTATTTATGTGTCACAGTATCACCTCAAAATACAAGACCAATTCAACCATGCAACAAAATATAAATAGTCCTACAAATACTTTTTATTTTATTTCCTTCTTTTTGTCGAAGCTCAAGGGAGCCAGAGCAGAGGGCTTAAAGGGCCGCATGCGGCCCGTGGGTTGCCGACCCCTGGTATAGTTCAATATTACTTGACAATAAATATTGTTTTTGAATTGTACTTTCTTTATTTGATTGGCAGTCAGTTGTTGATTACATGCAGACGTTGATAAAGCTGCAGGCTACTTCAATATANNTATATCACACTAATTCATAAAACAACTTAGACATTTTTATGTTCCGGACCTTTGCATGGGGAGATTTTCTCTAACTAGACCTCGTTGAATTTTAGTTGAATACCCCTGGTATAGAGGGTTGTTGTAGAGGAAGCAATGACGGAATGTCATCCAAAGCCAATAGGGTGCATCCGTGTTACATCCCAGAGGATGGTGACCAAGCGTAAACGGCGTTTTTATTCCTTCTAAACGTTTTTTTTTGTAGTTTTATTTTGAAATGCATTCCTGATGCTGGTCTTTCCCCTGGCTCTAATCGTGGCACTGCATCCCTGACTGATGCTGTGCCATCTTCATCTGAATTGCTTTGCCCTCTGGAGAACCCCACAAACAGTGTTGCTCAAGTGTACTGAATACTAAACTGTTCATTTCCCTTCTGCGTTCGTCTCCAGTGAAGCGGGCCAGAGACGGACAGGAGGCGGGGAGGTCTGGCACCGAGCCACAGAAGAAGAGGCAGAGGGAGGAGAAGAAAACCGAACAGGATGGTTCCCGGATTTCGGCCCATTTACACAGGTTAGAGATCACCCAAGCAAACATATTTGTTTAAAGCAATCAGACTTAGGAGAAGGGCACTTTGACTATGCAGAACATTTAAAATACTAAATCAAATCTGCAAAACACCAACTGGAAAAAAAAGGTGTTCAAAGATGCAAAGCAACTCTCTGCAGCTCTCCCTTTGGCAACATCCGCTGTGTCAACTGGGATCCCTTTTATAGAGAGATGCCCCAGCACTGCTTTCTTCCCATCTGTTACCAGGTTTATGAAGCTGCCTTTGTTTGTGAATATCGTCAACATGTATTGCTCGAGCTTTTGACTTGTGATAGCTTTTAAATCCCCATAATGGTCTTCCTTTGTTCCCTCTTTGTTTTTGTGCTTCTTCCTTTCAGTCCATCAGAGCCGTCAGTGATGGACAGACTGTTAGCTCTGGAGAAGCAGGTGATGAACGGCGGAGACAAAGATAAACCCGACGATTCTCGCAAGGAGATCCAGGTGAGCTCATCTACACCAAAACTTGAGTTTATCACCCTGGGTGTCGTGTTGCCCTGCATAAAATGGCTTTAAATGACGCATATCTGCACCTAGTGTTCTCTCTGTGTGGTTCACCAGATGCTGTCAGACCTTTACACTGATCAGTTGACTCTTCTTCAGGGATATTTGATAGCCAACTGTTTTTGTTTTTGCAGGCGCTCAAAGAGAAGCAGAGGGAGTTGGAGAGCAAGGCCATGCTGTACAATCAGGTGCTCGGTGAATTATCCGGAGTCAAACGGGAGTCGGCCTTCAAGAATAGCTTGGCTCCTCTGCAGAGGAAACAGTCGACTGCCTCTAAAGGCATCAAGCAGCAGGCCGTGGTCAAGCCCCTACAAGGTCAGAGGGAGCTCCTGGGGGGTAATGACCTGTTGCCACACTTATAAGAGTAGTAGGAAGTATAATAAGAGTGTAATCTAATGGGGATGAATGCGAAAAGTCACCATGTTAAGACTATAGATGTATTAAATACACTTCTCCCCCAAAATGACCAGATGCATATCATTTTTAAAGGTTACACATTAGTGCTAATTTAAGGGGTGACGTGTCTTTTTTTGTAATCCCCTTCAAAGAGGTTTTGCTCGAGAAATGACCTTGTAAAATCTATTCTCAGGTTTTGTCATCTTTCTGTTTCACTTAAGATTAGTCACTCACTAATGTTGAATCACTGGAGTTATTGATGAGCTGTAACGTGACACAAGACAACAATATTCAAGCCAGAAAACGTATCCAATGACGATGAGGAGGAATTCTTTTTAAACCCCTCAGCTGCTTGGAGAGTGAGATGGATACGGTGATGCCCGTCCCACACCTTTGGCTCCTAAATGGCAGTAGTCCCCAAACGAACATTAACATTTAACAGTTTTAAAGCCAACATTGTTGGAAAAGTGTTTTTTTCTTTCACTGTTCACAGATAATTGTGTAGCTTTAATTAATTTCTTGTAGTTTCCTCCCTATCAGTGTCCCAGCTCCTGCCACTTCAGACGAGTGCAGTCGTCAAAAAACAGTCCGTCTGCGCCAAGAAGAAAGAGAAGAAGCTCTTCGACCAGGTTGAGGTCAGCATCCGAGCGTCACTCTGCTGCGCTTATTAGCTTGACACATCAGCAACAACTGACGTAGCTTATTAGGTTCCATTTTGTTTTCTGACTGGACAGACATTACAAGATCTCCAATGTATTAGGTCTAAATTATTTAAAATGCCAATTGTCAAGTGTTCAAAATAACTTTTATAATTTATTTATCTCTTGTCCTTCAGCCTCCAGAGGGTAAGGAGAACTTCATAGAGAAAGGCTGGGAGTCCCAAATCGACACATCTGTGCTGGATATCTCCAAACATAAAATCCTGCAGATTCTGAACAGCGGCTCGCTCAAAGAGCTGAAGGGTCTGCAGCTGATCGGAGACAAGAAGGCCAAGCTCATCCTGGGCTGGAGGGAGATCCATGGCCAATTCAAAAAGGTTTGTAGAGAAAATGTGGAGCTACAACTGGTTCTACAATACCTCATACTTAAAGTGGACATATCATGCTATATTTGAATAATATATTGTAGGGCCATACCTATATAAAACATGTCTGCAAAGTTTTTTTTTCAAAATACCAAACAGATCATGCATTTTAGCCATGCCTCATTTCACTCTATTTGCTCTTTTTTTAGCCCTGTTTTTGCAAGGGCTGAATCTGAGAAGTCTTCTTCGCTGCTTTTGAGGCAGACTACAGCGCCACCTACAGGCCTGGCATATGTACTACAGCGCTTTTGAACGGCAATAGCCGTGGCTGTCTCCTCCTGATAGGTGGAGAGTTGCCCATATAGGCGGAGCTCCTCGTTTCTGACGTCGATATTTCAAGTCTGTATCAGATCCGTTGCAGCCCTGTTTTTAGAAATTTGGGTATGGAGGAAATGAGAAGGTTGTGTTTTCTGACACTTGGTGAGTTCCCTGACACACCGGGGACACATTCATGTATAAAAGACGTACAAGAGTGCATTTTGCATGATAGGTCCCCTTTAAGTATTTCTTCTGATTTCAGCTTTTCACTTATACGTGTTGACTTTATGTACGTTTTTTTTGCAGTTGGACGATTTGATAAAAGTTGAGGGTATGACAGGAAAGAGATATCCCTCTTTCATGAAGGTAAGCCAAGTCTTCAGTGCAATATTTTAATTTTTATAACATGTATTTCTTTTTAAAATACATATACATTTCATGACTATAAGTCCCAACAGGTCAACTCTGTCAGTATTTGCCTTGCCAGGGCTTATTGAAGTCAGTAGTTGCCTTGTGGAGCCATTTTCAACCCATGAAATGCAATTGTTTTGCTTTTATAATACATTTTATAAGAAATAAAAATATTGGGTTATCCCATAGCAGAGTGGATAGGGCTCTAAACACATTGATGCTAATGTGGTTATCTTTTGGCCGGACCAATTGCTGCAAGTCATGTTTCCTCTATATTTCCTTTCTCACTATGGCATAACAAGGCCTAAATAAATCTTGTCTGGTTTTAAAACATTTAACTTAATTGTATAAGTCATTGATGGCTAGGTCGCACTATTTCCCCTCTCTCTCAAATGAGGGCCTAGGCCCCTTGTCATGTCTCCGATATCTGTTTTTTATGTTTGTTCTTTTAATCTGTCTGTATCTTTTTAAATGCCTTTGTGATGTGCTGCAACCCATTTTCCCCTCGGGGACAAATAAACGAATACTACTACGTAACTGAAACACATTTTTAAAGTGTGCTACTTGACTTAAAACAATAAAGGTAATGCAAATGTTGGCGTTCTGAGATGGTGAATATTGTATCTGAATGCTTGGGCAGATTTTTTAGGGATGATCTTGTTTTTTGTCCGTTCTAATTTCTATTTTTTCATTTCTCTTTTTCTTTCCAGGCAAACATTTTGAGTGTCATGGGATATTGATTTTTCAACTTTTTTATTTTTAATAATATACCCTTGTCTATTGTATATAATCCTTTATCTGGCGAGTTTTTTTTTTGTGTGATATTTTTGTAGTTACTACAGTGTTCCAGCTGATGGCGCAATCCTGCTTTGTAATAAACCCATCACGTGACCCTGAATATTTGAGTGTTTATTTCATGATCATCAATAAATCAGAAGGTCACTCTCACATATGACCTAAGTAGTTGGCTCCTATTTCCGGTTTGATAACCTAATAGTGCTATTTTTTTACTGGAAGACCGGTTTTTATCATCATCGGATGTGATCCCAGCACCAGGGCATAAATACTCACTCAGAAACAGCGGTTGAATTTTTTGTGAGGTTAGGGGGAAACTATAATCCAGCCTCCGCCTCCTTCTCCCACAGCACGTAGTCTGTCAGATTTCACACACACACACACACACACACACACACACACACACACACACACACACACACACACACACACACACACACACACACACACACACACACACACTCCTCTCCTCCAGCCCGCCGTCCATCCATCCATCCCGCACACTGCGCTGGATCCAGGCTCCACACCACCGCTTCTCCTGCTTGCACACATAATATATCGGAATTTACACAAACGGCTCACCTTTGCTCACGCATCGTGGTTAAAAGATGTGTTTTTTCCGCGTCTGCTGATTTTTACACCTGACAACAACAATGCGTAAACCCTGCACGCTCCGGCTGTTTTGAGATTGGATTAAAAAGGTCAGTGTGATTTATGTTCCTTTTTCCTCCCCCGTTTCAATGTGTAGGTGTAAAACGCTTACTAAGAAGTCTGAATGCATAAACCCGATGCACGCTGCTTGTTTTGTTTTTTCTGCTTATCATGGCAATTTAGCCAGTGAATTCAAAGACGGGCATCAGGCTAATTAATCCCCCCTCCTCTTCCTCCTTTACTCTATCAGAGTATTTCTCCTTTGTCCTCATCCTCTTTTGCTATTTTACCTTTTGTTTGGTACCGGCAACCATATGCATTTTAGCGCCTGTGTACACATGATGAAATAATGTTATGTACACACCTGCACGGAGAGCCCTGCTGCTGCCTTTGTGCAGCTCGTCTCATTGTGAACTGCTTTCATTGTTACTTGAAGAACACGGTCTGCTTTATTATATAAGGCCTGATTTACAGGCGGACATGCGTGTCTTTTGTGTTTACCTGGTATTTATTTGAAAGTAAAACTTGATCGAGCATTTTTATCTAAAGTCTATAGGTGGATTTTAAATAGCCTTATAATGATATTTAGCCTGGATCCAAACTCTAAATAAGCTAAACCTAAATCATACTTTAGGGACTGTATGAAAGTATTTGGAGGGAGACTGATGGGAAGAATGTTCACTATTTTAACACGTTTGACCTTTCCAAGCATCATTTTTTTTATTTGGATCTCCCTTTGACTTACAAAATGAAGCAGCCTCCCCAATATCTGAATAAATAACATTTCATAGAAACATTTAAGATTTTTTATTTAAAAGTGATCCACTGATTTAGCATTGTACTTAGTCTTTTTTGTTTTCACTAATTTGCCTTTTTCAAGACGTGGCATCTACATTACCCACAATGCTAGTGGGCTGCCATCAGTTTGATTGGAAATCTGGTTTGTTATTCTAGTATCAGCTAATGCAGATTCCTCACAGCTCCCTCTGGAAGCCACAAAATGGGGTTTGCAAATGTTTATACAAATAGTGTTATTCCCCAAGACCTGTAAACAGGGTAATGATTCTATTTGTGGTGTTGAAAACCTTTTATATTAGCTCTTGTCCAAATTATCACACAACAACCTTTTTAACAAATATTCAAGCCATTCTTTATTCTGGTGCCTACTGTAGAGACAGTCACTGTCGATGAAACATTTATAAGTTATATGAACCCTTTCATGCATGAATTATGAAAACCTCAGTCAGGATTTTTTACCAAGTGTTTTTATTGCTCTCGGGGCATGAAAAACAAGATTTTAACTTTAGGTTGTTATTTATCTAGTTTTTTCAAATTTAGAAAACATTTATGTATGTGTCCACTCAGGTGGACAGTATTTGTTAAAGTTTCTACATTTAGAAAAAATGATAAAGATGTGCAAAATTAAAATTACATTATAATAACATAAGTATATTGATTTACGGCCCAAAGAGATATTGCAAATGAAGTGTTTTCAAAAACAACAGTAGCAGTAACAGTAGGAATTGTAGTTGAAATATAGCCAGTGATGCATGACGTC